TTGATACCTCAATAGTTGGCAAAGGATATAACTTTTTAATGATCTACAAATAACAAAAAGCCATCAGTAGGATAATTTTGTAAAACAGACTACAATTATAAATCTGAATTTAAAAAAACTTACTTGTTCAAATGATATATTTGATTATATTTTATCGATTATTTTCTAGTATAATATAAGAATTTATCATTTTCATAATCTTACAGATTTTACTTCCATTGTCGACTTAAAATATGACACATGCTCGTAAAACTCTCCCATCAAAGATCAAATATCTGTTAGGATCAATTCTTATTATAAAAAAGTTACTAATATAATATTTCATTAAGTAAATATGTCTACGTAACTAACCTATAATACAGGTAGGTGGCCTCTTAAATAGCTGACATAATAAATCTTATTTTGCTTGAATATTTGAATTCTCTCTTCGATTATTGAAGTTTTTTCAAAAATAATAAAATAAACTGATGTCACTCAATTAAACTTATTCAAAATTTTCAAATTATCAATTACTGATACATGACGGTGACATCCCATAAGTACTTTAACAAAGTAATATACATATAAATGCATTTGTACATCCAGCAAAAGTCAGTTGATATATCTTCACATGAATGCAATGAAATCATCAGCTTTGTCAATTCCCCATGGGTTGGCCCTTCAAATGGAAGATACTTCTGAGCAACATACCAGATTGTAACTGCATTTATCTTAATTACTTTTCTAATATTTGATAAATTATATAGAAGAAAAATATCAGATATCAAAAATGATAATTGAACTCCATTAACTAGAAACTTATCGTTTTCATCCCATCGTTCTAGAATTACCAATAATAATCCATGAGATACGACTATATCAAGAGCATCCAGGACATAGCCAAATGTTATATGTCTTATAATATATAAATGACACTTTTATGGTGATAGGGAGATCAAGTTTTTTTTCCAATACACTTAGAGTGCCCTAAAGAAGTGACAGATATGCTCAATAAAGCTATAACTAGAAACCATCCAACTAGATGGACTTTGGTTCTTCTTTTCTTCAAATGTGCTACTCTCGGTTTACAAATAGATAGAATTGCAAAGATAAAATTAATAAATTATTAATGATAAATTAAAGCAAACTAATTATGAAAGAAGTTTGCAAGAACCCATCTATGCTCAAATCAACATTCTTGAGACTAACTTTGGCATTTCTACGAGTATAGGGATTAGACTTGAGAATTCACTAAAGATGAATATAAATGTAGATCTTATAAACAACAACAACAACAATCATTAATTGATTAAAATTAAAATAAAATAGAACTGTTAATTTCAATAATAGGTCACTAAAAAGCCCAACAATAGAAAAAGGAGGTCAATAAGTGCACAAATTCATTATTACGTTATTTTTCAACGGGACCCAAAAAATAATGGAACCCTTTAAGATTGCAATATTCCTCAAGTATGATTTTCAAAAATCTGATGATTACTCCAATATTCATGCCATGCAACAAATCGTTTATGAATTGAGAAACTCAATAATAATACTATGTCCAAATTCATCTTTAGCTTCCAGGATAGATAAAAGACTTGGATTGAAGAGTAAAGTGAAATATCAAGCAAACTAATTTTTTCGCGAAAATCATGCTATGGAAATTCTACAACTAAGAAACAAATGTTGAAAGATGTTAGTTGAGGCAGAAATATATAATTTGGACAAGATATATTAAGCTAGAGGAGGAATGATATACAACCAAACTGGTAAGAATTTAGTAGATGACATTTATTTCTCTACATTTTTGTTCCCTCCAGGTTCACAACCAAACTTTATTGGTGTCATAAAGTCTTTGATAGCTAACTGAAACTAGAATAGTAAAGATCAAGCAAATCCATCCAAGATCAGCTTCTCAGATCCAACTAGGAATTTAGGTTTTTTCTTTTAATCCATATATGTAATCAAACCATAAATCTAATAGAATTTACTAAACTATAAATTGGTCCATAAATATGAAATTCAAATAGTTATCACAATACTAAACTATCAAAGACGAATACTTGAGGGGAAAACTCTATGGCAGAACCGGAAAGATGTCATAACCATAGAAAACTCCTTTGTTCGAACTGAGATGTTATCATAACGTTGGAACCCTCAACGACATTGAAACACTCGGTAATACTGAAACACTGGAATAGGATTTTTTCCTAATCGATGATGGAGAGGATGCGATGGGATATATCAAAGGTCACATTCGATTAATGAGTAACGGGTAAATGGAATCGATTCAACTAAAATCGATTTCTTACCCACTTTAATCCTAAAGTGAACCCAACTAATTCTACAAGGATAAAATGATCTTTCTCAAAAGTTAGAATGTTGTATCAAAATTTTTGAAAATAGGAGTGTGAGGTGAGAATTTTAAAAAAATAAAGACTTTTTCTAGGAATTTATCTTAGATTAACTACGTTCCACGTGAGAATAAGATTTGCACAAGGGAGTGTCCCCTATTTGTGCCACCTTTATTAATGTAGCTCAAAAGCATTCACGTACTGCATCCGAATAATTTGGCACCGTGGAAGATTAGGAATTGAATCGTGTTTTGCTGGAATGTTGGAGATTGGGGTGTGCAAAATTTCATTATGCGTGGATTTCCTCGAGGGTCTCGCCGGAAAGGTGAAAGGGTAAAGATGAGGGATTTAGGGATGGTAGATAGCATCACTACATCTTGTCAATTTCCCATCAACGACTACATGGTGAGGGAAGGATTGATTGTTCGAACACTGAGAAGCAATGTCTTAATATATCTTTCCAAGGCAGAATTAAGCTATTATATCGTTTGTCCGCTGTGTAGTTGCCTTAATTTGGATGCTACATTTCAGACTTTTCATTCTTGTTGAGACTAATTAGGTACCCTGTAGCTATTTGGGAACTATTTTTAAAGAGTCCTTCAGGACGATGAAATCTATATATTTCTTTCTGATGGAGGGTTTTTGCTGACTGTGAAGAAAAAGGGTGCGCTCTAAGTTATCTTTAACCATCAATAAAGTAACTCGGCAGAAATTGTGGAAGGCTCTGTTAGTTTTCTTGTCTCTTTGAAAATCTAGTGAGGAGGATGTCTTTGTTTCAGCCTCAATGAGTAACAGAGAAAATTACAGAAAATGTCGTCTGAGATAGAAACAAGGGAATCAGTCTCTCACCTTCTTCAAAGTGATTATGAAGAAGTATCAGGTTCTTACTGACCTCTGCATCGGTATCTCCTTTTGTCAACCTAAACTACTAGTACGGAAATCAGAAAACAATATTGTCACCTGAGAGAGAGCAAGCGAGTGAATCATTGGCCTCTTCCAACATCATCATCATCATCATCATCATCATCAAGTTTACTAGTCCCAAATATAGGTGTTTCAATGGCATGCTAAGAAATAGAGACTTTGTCATTCTTTTGTGATTTATCTTGAATAAATTATTCTCTTGCTAAGTAACTTGCACAAGTAGCAACAGAATTATGGTGATTCTATGCATTTTCGTGCTGATTTGATTGGTCTCTGTACAAGGCCTCTTCTGGTCAGACTGTTTGCACTTGAATAAGCCTAAACATGGATCACTAAATCTGAAGATGCAATACTGTCTGTAGTAGGAATCTTTTCATCTTTCTTTCGCTTTTGCTCAGAGCATTAAGGAGATGTTCTAAATTCATATCAATCACATGAGACGGAAGAAAGTTGTCCAGTCTTTACTTAAACCCTAAAGCCTACCCTCTAATTCCATTTACACACACATTTTTCATTGCTGTTGTTTTCATCTTCTCTTTGGCAGGAGGCTGTGAGACACCATAGTCTAGTTTTAAGACTCGGGAAGAGCACAAAGTGGATGATCTTGCCACGGCCCTGGCAATGAGACTGCTACTACTCCCTTTCTCAATTCAGCTGGCTGCCAGATGGGATTTGGATTGATACACACTTCATTCTTGCCACAGATTAAGCAATTAATTTGAGTAAATATATTGATGCATCAAGTCCTGTTGCGGCAAGAACTTAATAATATAATATTTTCACTAATTCAGTTCTGGTTCAGAAAATTTTCTTCTGAGCACACAGTAATTTTCACTGCCAGGAGTATCACTGATGATAGGCCAGCTATACTGCAACAACAATAGTAATAAGTTCTAATTCCTCCCCAATTATTTGGGATCAACTATATATATATATATATATATATATATATAATCGTTGAGTCTTGTACAAGTAATATCTTTGATTACGTTAAGTGAACTCAATCTTTTATTTACATTTTTAAGTGCAGTCTTCTTAGATTTCTCTTTTTTATGTCTCTTTAGTATATGTTCTTATTATTTTGAATAATTCTTACTTATTATATCCTCAATTGGAGTTACACTTAATTGTTTATCAATGAAAATATGTTTTTTAATAACTTTTATTCATTCACCTTAATATTTTTTATTTTGGTGATGTAAATTTTTTATTTATAATATTTCTTAATCGTCCAATAATTGAATTCATAAAATACCGACGGTCCAATAATTATTTTATAATTTTTAAAAATAAATAGGCTTACCTTTAATCACTTAATTTTTATTTTATAAATAAAATCTTCATTAATCTTTTCATCGTTTAAGATTTTTAAAACGTTTAAATATTAAAATATATTAAATTTACATTTTATATATTCAATCATAATCTTAACTAATTCAAAATTTTTAGTTTTATAATTATGTGAAGGTGTCATCTAGTTTAATCGATAGATTTATATTCAAATTAAGTGTGACGGAATCGTTTCTTACGAACCAACCCAATGGAAATATATGATATTAAACAGAATTATCACAATTTAACTGTACTAATAACTGATCCGCAACACTAAACGTCCTTTTCACCTCAAGTCCGGCCCATAAGTTTCCTCCTCAGCTACTTCGCACGTGCAACCGAACCGGAGAACGGGGTGGTTGTCTTCTTCTCCCTCGCATGCTTTGGTTTGCATCCCTCGCCCCCGTCCGCACGTGTCAACCCCCCTTCCCGTACTCCGCCGCAGCCGCCCCTTGTCCCTGCTCCCCAGACCCTCTCTCTCTCTCTCTCGCTCCCTCGCTCCATTTACTTGACAAAAGCACTGGTCTGCCCGCCTGCTTCCGTTTCTCTGCCACCAACTGCTATTATTAGTTGCCTAAACAACCCTGTCTGCACGACTAGAAAAGAAGACGGACTACCAGCCAAGTGTGTTTTGAATTGGGAAGTAGCAACTGCAATACTTCTCCTCCGCCCCAACTCCTCCTATATCACCTCCATTTCCTCTCCCCTCCACCCACCGATTTCATTTTCTTTATTAGGGTTTTGTCTTCCTCCTTTCTTGCTTGCTTTCGGTTTCTTGGGGCCGGAATTTTTACAAGAAAGGATAATATGATCAAGCAGATCCTCAACAAGCTGCCTCGCAAACCCTCCTCCAAATCCTCCGCCACCGCCGCCGACCCCTCCCTCACCTCGTCGTCCGCGAGAGCATCCTCGAATCCTGCCAAGAAATTTCCCGGATCGCAACCCGCCGACGCGGTCGGCAACGGCCACGCCGCCGACGCCGACTCCTTCGCCCTCTCCCTCCTCGCCTACGAGCCGCTCCCCAGCTTCCGCGACGTCCCGAGCTCCGAGAAGCCCGGCCTCTTCCTCAAGAAGCTGACCATGTGCTGCGTCGTCCTCGACTTCGGCGACCTCGGCCGGAACCTCAGGGAGAAGGAAGTGAAGCGGCAGACGCTGCTGGAGCTCGTGGACTACGTCGTCTCCGGCGGCGCCAAGTTCAGCGAGGCCGCCATGCAGGAGGCCACGCGGATGTTGGCCGCCAACCTGTTTCGCGCCTTACCGTCGTCTAACGTGGAGCGCCACCGCAGCCCCGACGGGTTCGACGGCGAGGAGGAGGAGCCCGCGATGGAGCCCGCCTGGCCCCACCTTCAGGTCGTCTACGAGTTCCTGCTGCGCTTCGTGACGTCGCCGGACACCCACGCGAAGCTCGCCAAGCGCTACATCGATCACTCCTTCGTGCTGCAGCTGCTCGACCTGTTCGACTCGGAGGACCAGAGGGAGAGGGAGTATCTCAAGACCATACTCCACAGGGTGTATGGCAAATTCATGGTACACCGACCCTTTATCAGGAAGGTCATCAACAACATCTTCTACCAGTTCATCTTTGAGTCCGAGAAGCACAATGGGATTGCCGAGCTGCTGGAGATCTTAGGGAGCATCATAAACGGGTTTGCTTTGCCGCTGAAGGAAGAGCACAAGCTGTTCCTGGTTCGTGTTCTGATACCGCTTCATAAGCCCAAGTGCGTCGTTCTATACCACCAGCAGCTGTCATACTGTATCACACAGTTTGTGGAGAAGGACTATAAGCTGGCAGATACGGTGATCAGAGGATTGTTGAAGTACTGGCCAATAACAAATAGCTCGAAAGAGGTCATGTTTCTTGGTGAACTCGAGGAGGTGTTGGAGTTGACGCAGGTGGCAGAGTTTCAGAGGTGCATGGTGCCCTTGTTCCGACAGATTGGACGCTGTTTAAACAGCTCACATTTCCAGGTACTCCATTTTTGTTGTGATAATTGGTTCCGCTGACTATCTCTGAAACCATAGATACTTATGCTCCAAATAACGGTTGCGTTTTTGGTGTGCTCATTCTTAGAGCCAAGAAGTCTGATGAGTTAACATCATGCAAATTAATATTTCTCTGAATTTGCATTGGTGTACATTGCTTTTGGACAGAGCAATGCTCAAGACTTAATTGTAAAATGTGATTAACCTCGATTAAAATTGATGTGCTTTCAACCATTAAATATTGCAAAGTGAAAATAGAACCCTGGAGCGAGATCTATGGTGAGAGATTCATTCTTCCTGGAAAGCCAAGGATTTCAAAGCCATTTATCTCAAATAGATTGGAAAATAGGGACTTTTTTAGAACACCATACACCAAGAGTAATTAATGTGTTGAGGGGAAAAAAGGCCATGAAAAACCAACTGCATCATGAAGAGTGCAGAGAGGAAAAAAAAAAGAAAATTTTATAAAACAAAAAGGGGTTCATGATTTGTAGTTCATTTGCACTAAGAGGGATCTAAACTTTGCATAAGTATCTGTTAAGAGCATGTGCTAGGATGTTGCAATCTTTATTTCATAACATGAATATACCTGTTCCTGCTATAATGGTAGATACACTGTTTTAGTAAGGTTAGTGCTATTCCTATAACAAATTTTACTCCGTGATACCCTCTAAACATGATATTTGGTTTAAACTATTGCAGTGATGCTGATAAATTATCTGCTACTGCCGACATTGGAATATAGTGTCAAAGTTGTTGCCTACTTGAATACCTTTAACTGGTTTACTGGTGCTATATGTGGAGGTTCTGTATAATGAAATGATATATGAAAAAAATGATGGTTGAATTAGGATAATGGATTGATAATTTGCATTTGCTTTAATTAGTCAAATCAAGTGTCTTTTGTGGGGGTAATGCTGCATATGTTGACCCTCTGCAGGCCTTACATTGGCAGGAGTGTCATGCGCTAGGCATACTCTTCTACTGAAAGAGATAGAATTTGATAGAAGATAAGATTTCCCCAATGATAGAAGATAAGATTTCCCCAACTTGATAGAGGATAAGATTTCCCCAATTAGATGAGGAAATCTCTCTATTCTGTTTATTCTGTTGAGGGAAATCCTTCCTCCTAATCTGTATAAATAGGAGAGGGAACATGTTAATAGATTTAAGCTAAAGCTATTTCATTTCTATAATAAAGCTTCTTATATTATATTGTTCTTATCTTCTATTATTTCTATCATGGTATCAGAGTCGCTTGCCTAGAGCAAGCTCTCTTCTTGCTGCCAATCTTCTCTATTGCCACTCTGCGCCAACTTCCCTTCCGCAACGGCATCTCTAGTGCTGCGCTCATCAGCATTGCCCCACATTTCTTCCTCTTTGTAGCTATTTTCCTTCCTCTTCTGTTACAGCTTCCTCTTCTGCTACAGCTTCCTCCTCTGTTGCAGTTTCCTCCTTTGCTATAGTAGCATCACTGCAACATTGCTGTAGATTTCTTCTCTACCGTCGCAGCCGTCGTAATCGCAACCACGACCAACGTCGTTAAGAAAAGCGAAGCTTCGCTCTTGCCTTCGGCCAGCGACCAACGTCGCTGAGAAAAGTGAAGCTTCACCCTTCGGCCA